TATTAACCTTGACAGAAACTTAACATAAGGATTTTTAAGTGAGAGGCACTAAAGAGCTCAGACTTTACAGTAGGTTGGAGGAAGGGGCCAAAGCGTTGTTAACCTAAACATTCCAGTATACCCTTTCACTGCACACAAAGCCCTAGGAGGAAGGGCAGTGGAGCAGCTCCCAGCAAAGCTGATTGCAACAGTTATACTGGCACCACTGTGTTTCAAGCTCCCAGCATTTGACAATCACAAATAAATCACAGTTTAGAAACGAATGACACTGATGTCCATGCGCAGTCTGCACAGGGCGCCCAATGCAGAAGGACTCACAGCGGCTGCGGCCGGCTGAGAGCATCCCAAAGCCTCGTGCAGCATCTCCTCTTGGCTCTGCTCCACTTGCTCCAGGAAGGCACTTTGAAACAAAATTTTTCTGCACCACTTTCGGGAAGAGGAGGGCATTGAGCCTTCCCTGGCACTCCTTGCTGAGTCAAGAACAGGCAGCGACAGGCTTGGTCCAGAAGAGGTTGTCTGCTGTCTCCCCTGCTCTGCTGCCTCCCAGGAGCTGCCATGAACTCAGAACTCAGCAAATACCCAAGGGAGGGCTTTAGGACAGACAATGGATTACTCAGTTTTTAAAAGGCAGAAAACTTCCTTAAATTCTGCATATTTATTTCCCCTAGATTTCCCCTTGAATATGATTTCTTGCTTTAAGGTTCAGCATAAATTCCGTACTGTGCTTGAAGACATTTTTATTCAGACAGTAAAAAGGATCAGACAGGATCAAAGTGATCAACATTCAATCTTCAGGCAGGTCAGTTTTAACCCTTTTTTTGGTTTGAAAAGGAGGAGCCATCATATACAATAAAAACGATGGGTTAAAGCTAGTAAAAAGTAATTCTCTTGAAAGTGATTTTGGATATGAATATACACTTATGTGGTAAAATATAAAAACATCTCAGAGAAAGGACATTCCAACAGTGCTTTCCTATGTGGATGAGAGGACAAAGCAGGGGCTGGGCGGGGCTCCCACTGCAACTGCCCTGCAGTTCCCAGAGACAGGGAGACAGAGACCCAGGGAAAGACATAGACAAACAGCAAATAGGGAAAATAGTACTGTCTTTTAAATTTACATTATGGTATATGGTATTTGTCATATAAAATTTTAAATTTTGTATGCTTGTAATAGGAAGTAATTAGCTAAAAAAAAAATCCCCCAATCCAGCACTCCCAAGGGCCCTGGAAGAAATGCTTCAATATGAAGAAAAAGTGAACTACAGCCATGAGGCTGGAGGGCTAAGTGATCCCAGAGCAGTTAGTCAAGGTGGAGGGGAAGAGCATGAAGACTTGTACAGCAAGATGCTGGAGAGCTAAGCAGGCTTCTTTTCAGATCCAAGACGGGAGCATGCACAGCAAGTCATGGTTCAGTGGCCCGCGTTCCAGCAAAGGTGGCCCTGCAGTGACAGGGTGTCTAAGCTGAGCTGGCATCCCAGTTCTCTGCCACAGTGTAAACGTGGGAGTACTTCCAATAGGACATGCTGGGCTTCGGGAGACTCCTGCAGTTACCGCGATGGTCAGCTTGAGGCTTCGTTCGATGTGCACAATCCACAAGAAGACTCCCAAACAAGATAAAGCTTACAAGCCCATAAAGTAGAGCTTCGTTTCCCTAGCCCCGAGTCATGACCAGTTCCCAAAGCTTTCAATAGCCCTTAAAACTTCACTGTCATCTCCATTTCACACCAACCACTGACCTTCCAGGGAACGTAGGGTGGGGGTGCTGGAAGAGGCCGGGCAGGGAAACAGGGCCTGAGTTCAGAGAGACAGGCTGTTGACAAGAGTGAAGAAAAAGCCACACTCAACCATCTGACCTGTAAGCCTGAGCAAACAAACGTCCTTCCTGCAGGCCATAGACCTTGTGTGTGCAAGACTATGACAGTACCACTTCTCTCAGTGAGTGCCTGTGCCCACCTCTGGGATGGATTATGGGATGGATGTGAGGTAATATCATGATATCACCTGGAAGCATCATTCTACAGATGCTCCCATTTTTCACGCACAGTGGAGTGATCCGGGATGTTCTAGCTAGATGGGAAATCCAAACAGAGATGCAGACAGAAGGAAGGCAGAGTCAGGAAGATACCATGTAGTAGCCAAAGGAGTAACATGCCAATCATCACAAGTAAGCCCCAGCCTTGTGGCAGTACACAGGTGGATTTAATTGTGAGAACTAGTCAGTAATATGCCTGAGCCATTGGCCAAACAATTATACTCGATATTAAGCCTAAGGGTGTTAGTTCATAAGTGGCAGTGGGGACCCACGAGCAGGAAAGATACTGGTCTAGGGGAACCAAGCAGAAATCTTAAAACCTTCCAATCACAAAATTCTAGTGCCAGTGAAGAAAAGAGTTCATGAATAGACCACAACTCACACTTCTTCATATAGGGCCACACAGAAAAAGCCCATTTTTTCTCATAACATTATTTCTTTAATGGTTCTCATCAATGCCAGTGAGGCTCAGTTTCCTGTCACAGATACAGACACATAAATGCATACAACACTAACATATGACACATGAACAGGCAGAAAGTTCTAGATCTGACTCCTGATGCCCTCTGCTTATTTCTTCTTTGCTTTCCAGAATTCTTATCCTCGTTGCCTTGATTTACCAGAGTCCTCCATGTCTTGTCCCTAAGTTCCCGGCTCCCTGCCTCAGCAGCACATACTCTCATGGGAGGGCCAATGAGCTGAGGGAGAAAGAGGCCTGAGCCCTAACTCTGAGGCCCAGTTCCTCAGTGCTAATAACTATTACAAGAGGTAATAGATGTAAAACACATGATACATCACAATGTTGAAGAAACCATTTGTTTTCTCTGGTGTTCTCTTCTGCATTCCTCACCTAGGTTCTAAAGGACCAGAAGCTACTGACTGCCCTGATGGGTAATTTTAGGTGTACAGTCAACTACAGTGGACAAGTGTAGAAAGTTGGAAAAGCACCCCGCCCCACCCTCAGCAAGTGTCTTCATGTTTCCAGAGGAGACTGACAAGTCTGCTGAACTAACGGAAGGCCTACCCTCAATGTGCACAGATGTATCCAGTCAGCTAGAAGCCCTGCTAGAATGAAAAGCCAGAGAGAATCCTCTCCTCTCCTCCTTCCTCTGTCCCAGCAGAATGTGGGGGCACTCCTCATTTTTGCCCTCTGCACTCCCAGGGCATCAGAACTCCAGGCTCCCCTGCATTGCCCAGCTTACACTAGCAGTGGAACTCCCAGATTCTTGGGCCCCTGGTCCTAGATGGAGAGTCCATCAGTTACCAGGTTCTCAGGCTTCTGTGCTTGGACAATTACCAGCATCCCTGGGTACATATATATTATAGACACCCCACCGTAGGACTTCTTGTCTTTCATAATCAGGACAGCCAATTCTACCTCTCATCTCTCTATCAACCTTCCTATCAGTCAGTCAATCAATCAATCAATCAATCAATCATCTATCCACTCATTTCCATCCCATCGGTTCTATTTCTATGAAAAACACTGTCTAATATAACTGTGGCCTTTGCAAACTAAAAGCATTGCCCTTCTATGTCCAATTACCTTTACTAAGAAAAATACCTTTCATTCTCCAACTAGAGCTAAGAGTCTTAAAATGAAATCGTGACTCATAGAATCCAGACCAGGAGTTGAGTTTCACTGGAAAGAGAAAGACTGACATGGCTCTTTATTTTAGACAGAGGGCAAGGCACTAGAAAGGCCTGGGCCTGGTATGAAAAGGAGGAACAAATTACAATGCTGGCAAAATCAAAGATAAATTCCGCAATGCCAGAATATTGAGTTTAGAAAACAAGCTAGCAGGAAGACAGAGGCCGAAGTATGGCAACATTTACTGCTGGTAACTGTTATTCTAAGCTTGAATTGCTGAATAAATAAAAACAATGCCAGAATATTGAGTTTAGAAAACAAGCTAGCAGGAAGACAGAGGCCTGCTATGGTAACATTTACTGCTGGTAACTGTTAGTCTAAGCTTGAATTGCTGAATAAATAAAAACTTTTTTTGTGACTAAATTGCAATTTTTTATTGTTTTCCTGAAAAATCATTATCAGTCTCTGAAGCATGGCACTGAGTTAGGAAAATAAATATTCAGAACTAGAGAAAGATATTCTCAATTAAATCACCAACATAAGAAGCTGAAAACAGTGAACATGTACCCAACCCTACCCCATTCCACATGCCACAGAATTCATTCTGAGTGGTTCCACAAGGTTCCTGTCAGGCTCTTACAGAGTACCTAAGCATATTTCCTCATCTAAACTCTAGAACCCTGTATGAAGTATATACTAGCAATATTTGTGTATTTATATGTTTAGACAGTTGGATAAGCCTGTTTGAAGCCCATTTAGTGTATCACTTTGGGTCTGAATTTATGACCTTAAATAATATACCCTATAGGTATATAGTCTAACTGTTGTGTCATGAAATCTTTTAAACGCAGTATTTGGAATTTGTCTCAAAGACATTTTTTGTTTGTTTGGTTTTCTTAGAGACAGGGGTCTCACATAGTCCAGGCTGACTTCAAGCTTGCTATCTAGCTGAGACTGGCCTTGAACGCCTGATACCCAGCCCCTACCCTCCCAAGTCCTAGGACTGCTGGTATGCACCATGTCACCTGGCTCAAAGTTTTACTAAAACATCAGAGAACAAACAATTTAACGACTTGAAGATTTTAAAAGGCAGCTTTAAGGCTGCTGGAGGGGGTAGTTAGTTTTTCTTAGTTGACGCTGGAACCATTTTAATTAAATGGAGATGCTAATGGTGTTTGAAAATTTGTCATTTCCATGAGATGAATTTCTACTTAAAAATTCTAATAACAACGCAAACACTTCTTCTTGGGGCAAAGGAGCTTCCTATTCATTCAAGGCAGCTGAATGTTCACATTCACACTCATGAATATTCACATTTACTCAAGGCAGTTCACTGACTTTGCTCCCAGCAGTCCCAGCGGTGGACTTCAAACTTACTTTGACCTGAGGGTAGGATTTCTTGTTCTTCTCACTAGAGGCACCAGGGAGTCCGCCATGTGATGGGCCTTCACAGACATAGCGGAATCGAAATCCCCTCTGTGGAGGTGAACACAAGCAGTGATTACTACAATAATAATGGCAACGTTAGACACAAGGTTCTAAACTATGTAACTATGGAAGACAACCATAGAGATAAGAAATACTTTACAAAAGTTATTATGAAAATGATGCTAGCTGGTGTTTGTGCACTGAGCTGTGGTGGAGAAGCCAGGCACCCATCTTCAGCACCTCGCTGGCTCTTTTCTCGGAAGGAATGATAAAGAGTTTAAAGCTTTGGATAAAATGTGCTACAGCTGTCTCAACTGTAGCCTTCTCAGCTCAAATTGCTGCTGCCAAGCTCTCCTCTTCACCTTTAGCCAGTAACAGCTATGGTAATTATTTGAAGGAATTCCTTTATCTTCTCCAATTACACCTGAACTGGGGCAGGCCATAGGCATGTCTTTTAAAATAACATGTGCCAGAGTTAAGGACATGGCCTGTGTGCTACAACACTGTGAACTTGACAATCTTCTCAGCATTTGAAAGAAAAAAGACCATTAATTTTGTGAATATTAATGTAATTGGGATACAGTTTGGATAATACTTTTTAATTTAATGACTCTAAAACTAGACAACAGCATGTATAACAGGTAGCTTGTTACAAACTGGCTAAGACCCAAACACACCTCCACACATCTTTAACCCTGGAACTTGAGGGGCAGAGGCGTGTGGATGGAGGTCTGTGAGTTTGAGGCCAGCCAAGGCTACACAGTGAGACCCTGCCTCAAAAACAAGACACAACACAACACGCTTAGACAGCTAATACTGAGAGCTATACAACGGAACTGGGTAGTCTAAGGATTACTAATCTATGCTTTGATTCATTCCCATCAGACTTAGGAAAAATCTGTGTCCATATGGCTTTCAAGAAAAAGAACATTTCTAACTCAGAAAATCAACACAGAAGTTCCATATCTTTAATCACAAAATTCCTTTGTGGCCTGGAAAAATATGTACAGGTACACTTTTATACGTTATGGAGAACGGCACCTAACACTAGTCAATGTAACTTAATTGTGATGTGAACTTACAGCACGTGAACCTGTATTATTTCTGGTTTCACAGAGGATCTAAAGTTCTATACAAAGTAGCATTTATTTTGAAGATGAAATTATATTACTCTGTTAGCTTGGTAAGATGATTTGGAGTTGGGTGTGGTGGCTCACACCTGTAATCTTAAGAGCTGGAAGGTAGAGACAGGGGAATTGTCACCAGTTGGAAGTCGGCAAAGGACTACAGGTATTGTTGTCTCAAAAAATAAATTAATTTTTAAAATCAAATAAAAAACTAAAAATTAAGATGTCTCAAAATATGTAATCTGGACCAATTTCTAATTCTAACATTTTGATATTAAATGTTTACTGTCTGCCACTATTCATCTTGGGAGCTCCATTTACTTCAAAGGAGTCATTGACCTCAGAGAGGCTACATCCATGAAGCCAAAAGTCTGAGATTCAACCTCCTTACTTACACTGAAGCTAGATAAAAACAAAGAACAACCCCCGCCCCACACATACACAAACAAAAACACAGGGTGGCAAACAGACACAATGTTTTACTTACATTTTATATACTCACAAATAATGAATTAAATTTTGAATTCTGCAACTATATTAGCTGTTCTAATAAGTCATAAATATCTGTGATTTTGGGGTTCATGATAACAAACTGCACATTAAAAGTCTTAACATAGTGCTATGCTCAGAAAAAATAAGGTTCTGGGCTGGCAAGATTGCTCAGTGAGTAAGGTGTGAGTTTGATCTCCAGGACCCACATAGTAGGAGGGCACTAACTCCAAAAAGTTGTCATCTGATCTCCATAGAGGTGTGAGTTTGATCTCCAGGACCCACATAGTAGGAGGGCACTAACTCCTAAAAGTTGTCATCTGATCTCCATAGACATGCTTACACACACACACACACACACACACACCACCTTAAAAAATACATGAACATGATTTAAAATGTTTTAAGAGCGCCAAAAAACATTTTGCTGTGTAGGCACATTTGGACTCATCATTTTAATGGGTTAACCAAATCTTACTAGCTAGGGCACTTTCCAGGATTCCAGATTCCCGGCAGAATCTCAGGGAATAAAACTCCACCAGGAAGAGTTTCGAGAGAACTGGTGACTTGATGTAAGAAGCCACCCCTTCAAAGATGACACAGCAATAGAGCAAAGGCAGGTGTCATCTGCAGCTGAGGGACCAGGAAGTGCCACCGGCAGGCAACCAGAACAATGCCCTAAAGTTTCACATGGCATTGCTGTCTTTACAGTAAATATTTTCATCTGATTTCAGCTTCACAAGACTACGGTTGTCATCACTAAGATGTTTCTACCATTTAACAGCTGACCACATCAGGATCCTACAGCACAGCAGCTCTATATGTTCTGTGAATACAAACGTTACGTTCACTCTCCTGAGATACAGGAAAGAACACCCCAGAAAAGGCACTGGGTAACATAATTCGGCAGGCCAAGTGAACAGTCCTCAGTGTCACACAGATGTGATGAGCATATCCACTCAGAGGGTTAGTGACTTGGTCCTCATTCCACGGGAGACTATACCATAACTTCCATCCCATAATAACTGAAATGTTCTATTGGCAGATATTAAAGATTCTCTTCCCTCTCACAGTGCCAGAGCTACACAATTTCTGACGAATACATATATTTTGGGGTCATTTCAATCCTGAACTATTTGTACACTATTCAGTAGGAAGAGACCCAAAAAAAAAAAAAAAAAAAAAAAAAAAAAAAAAAAAAAAAAAAAGAAAACAACAAATCATCCTCTCCTTGCTCCAAGGAGGCTGGGACGAAAGTCAATGACGTGTTTAGTGCCTTGGGTTACACAAAAAAAAAAAAAAAAAAAAAAAAGAAAGAAAGAAAAGAAAAGAAAACAACAAATCATCCTCTCCTTGCTCCAAGGAGGCTGGGACAAAAGTCAATGACATGTTTAGTGCCTTGGGTTACATAACCCACACAGAGAAAAGGCTGGAGCTTATAAAGGCAGAAGTACCCTGTGGGTATGGACATGACCAGTAGAGAGTAGATGTGAACCTCTGCATGAGTATTTCCTTATGAATGAAAGTCACCAGTGCTTTCCCTGGAAGTGGCTGATAAACTAAGCCAAAAGAGATACAGAGTATCAAGGATCTTAATTAACTGAAGTTTCAAGGCCTTTTGAAGAATGCCTAAGAAGAATGTAAAGTAGACACAGGAAGTTATTACATAATACAGCAGCATGTTGATCAACCAGATAAGCCACCTCTGTTATCAGATTAGCCACCATTATTCGACCCCTGAACCTTAATGTTAGAAGTAAAGATCAAACATTACCAAACACCCAACCCCTTTATTCTTACCTGTTTTGGTTGCTCTAATATTTGAAGGTATGGGCCATCTGTTAAAAGCAAACACAACGAAGGAAAAACCAAAAGAAACTGTGAGACTTCTAGAATCTGGTATGAAATAGAAGCAAGTCAAAAGCTGAAATTATGTTTCAAATCAATTTTATAGGTGAAATGCTACAAAGATATAAAGCATTCTCATTTGAAATATTAGATATATTCTTAGTTTTAAAAATTTTTATTTACTTTTTTTTTGTATGTGAGTGTTTTGCTTGGTGCCCAAGAAAGCCAGAAGAGTATCTGATGCCCTGGAATTGGATGGAGGGCATGGTTGTTAGCTGCCATGTGGTGCTGGAAACCAAGCTTAGGTCCTCAGGATGAGCAATGAACACTGTCAACTGCTGACCAATGGCTCCAGACCCTGAGTTCACTTATTTTAATAACAGTTTTATAGTTTGTCGGGTACATGTCTAGGCCCAACCAAAGGCCTGAGGGCAAAGATTAGTGTCAGCAGCCTTCAGTCACCTCTCTCAATTAGAACACAATACGGTTAAGTACAGTGACACTCTCAGTGCTATGGCATTTCAGGCTGCCTTTCATCAATAGAGATGACTTTCCTTCCTCAAAGAGAACAGCTCAGTGTGAAATGAAGAGCTGGAGACAGCAACCTACAGGAGCGGTCCAGGATGACTCTGGCTCGCCTGCCTCTCCTAACTCTACCACTGACTTTTCACTTTTTTCCTTACCTGACCCAGAGGTAATGTCTCCAGTGTCTAACTGGCTTGTTCTCGCCCTCTGTGGGACCTGGAGAACTTTTCTTTCTTATCCATGGCCTGTTTTGTTTTGTATTGCTTGAGACAGGGTCTCACCATGTAGCCTTGGCTGGCCTGGAGCTGGTTATGTAGACCAAGTTGGCTTCAAGCTCCCAGAGATCTTCCTGCCAAGTGCTGGGATTAAAAGCATGCACCACTAGGCCTGGCATCTTATCCATGGCTTCTGATGCTGATACCAATACCTGAACACTGTGCTCTCATATGAACTCTGTTCTAAAACAGCCCAGGCATATAAGAAAATACCAAAAATAATGTAGTTAAAGATAAATGCATGCCAATTAATTACTATAAAAAACCCTAAAGGCTTAATCCATATCCCAGTGATATCTGACTTGAAATTTCAAAGAAAAGTCACAACTTCTGAGAACATAAATATAAACATTATGACAAGAAATCCCCTAAGGACCTCTGCTGGCTTTTATGTGACAGTATGACAACCATAGCCGTGCAGCACACAAACATATTGGATAGTTTGTATTTGTTTGAATGAAAATTAAGACCTTTGAAGCTAAAGCTACTCTAGAAGAAAGCTTCCATGCTCATTTGAAAAGTCACCCTCCCAGCAAAGCTTAAGCCTTATTTTGCATAAATAAATTTGAGAAGAGATAAAACTTTGAAGTTTTATTTTAACTAAACTATAACTTCAAAGAGAATATGTTTTATCTTCTCAACAATATGACAAATCAGATAACACTAAAGACTAAACTGTACAAGGAAGGCAGTTAGGAAATGGCCAAAATAAGAAAGCAGGTGGGTAAAACTCAGCAATGCGGCCAAGTAGCAAATTCCACACTTCTGTCTTCTGGGATACATCCCTGACATCTTAAACTTTTAGAAAAGTAACTAATTTTACATTTCAAAAAGAAAACAATAAGAAAGCAGGTGGGTAAAACTCAGCAATGCGGCCAAGTAGCAAATTACACCCTTCTGTCTTCTGGGATACATTCCTGACATTTTAAACTTTTAGAAAAGTAACTGTAATTTTACATTTCAAAAAGAAAACCTAAACTTTAACTTTTTCTAAGGAAATAAGACTGGTTAGAAAAAGATTTCATGCTTATAAATGCCATACAACTCGTATGACAGCATTACAAATATACATTTCCTCTAGACATCCTAAGGGTCTACCAAGAAGCTAGACTGGGAAGAAAGCAGTATTTGGACAAGATGATGCTGAAATATGGAGGTGGGGGGAGCCCCCTCACATTAGGCTTCAAGTCCCTCCCTTCTTACCAGCCCCTCCATTTGACTTGTGGGATTGCTTCTAGACTTTCCCTACATATATGAAGTTCCATGTGGAGGGGGCCATTCCTACCCTTAAGTCAAGTAGAACACTAGACTGGATACACATATCTTTGTTTTAAGGCTAACTTTCTTTTGGTCACATTTCTGGGCCAGGGAAATGATCTCCTATTCTATAGAGAATTTTAAATCGAAGAAAAATGACAGAGACCTAACGGCTGTCCCTTGTTACAGAGTTTCTAACACATAGTTGGAAAGACTAACAGTTTGAGATTTTAAATTTGAAACGATTGAAAAAAATCCACACAAAAATTACAAGCAAATATTGGCTGAGATGAACTTCTTGCTCCTTTAAAATCTGAACAAAATGTCTTTCCATCTTGGACCATAAAAACTGGACAACACACTGAAACAGAGTGGAGGAAATTCCAGTAAAAACGAAGGGTGTGGTAACAGCAGAAAATAATGTATTTTAAGGTACAATTATACAGGTTTTTCTAACACTGTGGAAAACATAGACTATTTACTGAGATGATTCTTTTGATAATTTTACTTCTATGCCCATAAACCCAAGGAAAAGGAAACCACACTTGAAAATCATCTGCCTCAGGGCACTATTCAGTATTCATGAGGCATTTTCTAGAAACGTGTGCTTTTCCAGAGGACAAAACCA